AAATTGCCGTAATCTGCTTGTGGCAGATGTAAAGTTTATAAATTGCCTATTATGCCAGTGCAAACTCAACAGTAAAGGCCCTTTACCCTGATTACATAAGGCGTCACATTTTGCAACACCAGTGGTACACGTTTTAGATGCATTACACCATACTCGGAGGGTGTTGTTAGGGTCCGGACCATGAAAGCCGCTGAACCTACGACAGCCAGCGGCAAGTGACCCACCGAACCTAGGATCACCGCAACAATCTCTTCTTCTCCATCTTTCAACCTGCGCCAGCTGCTAAAGTGTTTCGAAAATAACACTTGGGCTTCCTCCTTCTCCATCTTCCCGACATTGATCCTCGCACACTCCTGCTGATCTGCAATTTGGCTAGATCTTGTCGTGAATATTAGGGTACCTCCAGGGCTTTGTGGCAAAAAATTAGCGATGCGACCGCTATTTCCAACAAAATCCTCCTCGTTATCGGCGTTGTCAATAACTAGGATCCAATTACCACTCTCCGAACCTTCAAACCACTTCTTTACACTCCTCAGTAATTCCTCTTCATCTGTCTCGCTGCTGGCCCCGGGGATCCCAACATATTGTGCAATAGCCCTGAAGCCGTCGCTGAATCCGAATATCTCATTTCCCTGCACCCAAAAAACATGACAATCGTTCTCCCTCTCGCGCCAACGAACATATTCAAGGGCAATCTGTGTTTTCCTGAGCAATGTTAGTAAAGCTTAGGTATTACAAATTAACAAACACATACCCAGAACCGCCTAATCCATAGAGCGCAATCCGGTTGTGATTCTTACGGCTAGCAAGCTCTTTTACCGACTCGATAAGATTTTTACGGCCGGTGAACTTGGGGTTCCTGCCGTAGGGAATAATGCGATAAGGCCGAGGCGCTTGTTCCAGTCAAGAGAGCGCGTTAGTTCTCTGTTAGAATACTCTTGGGAACACTGATGATACCTTCGTTCCCAACTCTGTGCTCATGCCTTCGATCCGGCGCTCCGGAAAGAATAACATTGACCAGGCTACCCCCGTTTGTATCCGCGTTTACTTCGACTTTATTGTGGCTATTGGAAACGTTTTGACTGTCTGTATTGCCGCTGAGATTTCCGCTGATAGCGGGTTGGGATTTCCTAGGGAGATTATAAGGCAAGCGCTCATCAGTTTTGAAATCCCGAGCATTGAAGGGAAGGGGAGCCCACCGATCCATCAATTATTCAGCTCACTGCAGAGCAGATTCCGGAGGCCGGTATGAGACAACTGGAAATAAAATATCGGTAGCGTAACTGGAATTGGCAAGGTATGATAGCTTATTTGCCCTGTAGGGGTAATTCAAAATCATTTCTCAACCCCTGAAACAAGTCAGAATAACCCAGAGTACAGTAGAATGAGTGGTCTAGGACCCTACCCTGAATATGGGGGCGAATAATTTTGCAGTTCTGATGTAGCTATGGGGTAAAATCCGGGTTGGGGCTATTCGAATTCAGTGAAGACTAAAGACTTGATGTAAGAGCAGGGTGCGGGTATTTGTAGAGCAACCGCATCTCGGTTCAGCAAGGGGGGCTGAAATCTACTATTCAGATATTAGAGGTCTTGTCGCAGCCGCGAGGCTGAGGAAATGACCAACATAAGCAAACAGGGCGATATGTAACCCCATCGCTGGTTTGAAGTTAGGGAAATGTGACTAGTTGTATTTCTGTCCCGTTCGGGACGGTATCACAGCCTATAATTGGTGCATAGCCTATTAAGTTATACTATGGAATACTCGCGCGAGTACATACGACGAGAGCAGCCTCTAACTCTCGGCCGTTTTCCTGCATCCTGATAACCGCGAATATTAGAGTAACGGTACTTGTCCGAGTACTCAGGGACTCTCAGTTAGAGCTGCTGAGGGTGCAGATTTGGACCTGGGGAGTGATGCCGATAAGTGACTGTACCAAATACACTAATAGAGCTGCTGCCCGCCCCCAGAAGAGGCCAAGGCGCCCTACTGATTTCCTTTCCTGATGGGTGGTTGCACGATCTTCAATAAGAGAATCTCATAGGAGCTTGCCTCGACTAAAGTTGGCGCGCGCATAAAGCAGGAAAAAGAGACACATTTCCCCCGCAACACACAAATAATACCGCAAGGTTTCTGAAACAACTGGACTTACCTCAGTGCCCTCTTCATCGCGGTGGGAGCACCTGCAAGAGCTTCCAACTGAAGTAACCCGGGTATCACGAAATCCCGCCCCGGGTAGAGGCGAAGAAATGGCAAGCGAGTTGCATGTGCACGAGTACCGGCAGTCCTTACCGATCCCCACTAGGAGCAAGATAGCTGGCGCCTTCCGTTGCATGCATTCTAAAGCTGTGGAGGAAATCGTAAGACTGTGCTCAGGTTCAAGAGCCCGTGTAATGAAATGCCGCAAAAGGGGTGTAACGGACGGCTATTTGAAGTCTTTCCGCCCTGTATGATTTCGTCGAAACCCAGGCTTTGTGGGGAAAATTCGGCAAGCTCCTTCTCCAGGATTCCTGCAAGGCTTACACCAAAGGTTTCCTGGTCCCTAAAACAGGAATTCGGCAAATGACTCTTACTTCCGCTGGCTGGTGTTATTTATTGGTGGTCAGACTAGGTTTTATCATTTGTGTTTCTTCTGTTGGAGTTTACTGGTGGCGTTTCTATTTTGCCTGCCTTGGTTTGAAAAAAGATTTTCCCTTCTGCTTTGGGGAAGGATGTACGTTTAGTCTAGGCCAGAGCAACTGTATGATTAGGAGACATTGGACAGTGTTGGGATACATGCTTGTGGGTGTTTATGCCATAACTTAGTGGTTGTATACAGCAGTTGTGCTCTTAAAAAATCAAAGGATTTAACAGTGGCAAAAATCCAGGTCTTGACGGCAGAAAATATAGGCTAACCGGGAAGTTTTCAGGGTAGCCTATGCTCGGAAAGGTTCTCTAGCTTGTATCATGATACCCATTTATTAGAATAATTGAACCCGGTTCTAGGAGGTTACAAGTGCCCGCAAACTCGCATGCAGCCAAGGCAGAAGTGTACGCGGTATATACAAGTAGGAGTACTGAAAGGGACAGATCGGGGTTGGAAAACCAAATACACAGATCGGGTAAGCTTCATTCACTTACAAAATCAAACAGGTAATCGATACCTCACACAAGAAAAGGAATTTCAAAATTAGGTCCGTACAGGTCAATCTATGTAAAGAAAAGAAAGAACAACTAAAGAAACAT